AACAGGAGCCTGTATGTATTAATTAAATTTAAAGAAATTTGAGATAATTTAACAATAAGTTTCTCTAAATTGAAAAAATCAAATAGTGTAATTATCTAAACAACTGTAATTGACTTGTTTGTTGACAAGATAATGTGAAGATATGGAAACTGACAAAACTAATGACTTCAGAAAGTCGTCTATAAACTTAAAGCGATATCGATCTGTATATAAGTAAATATATGTATTGTGTTAGAGTTATTTTAGCTGTCTATTGGATCGAATACAAATATAAACTATTCCATTAATATTGAAAAGTTTTAATACACAATAGATCAGTTGAAATTCAAATATGATCTCCCTTCTCTTAAAGGACTTTTGAAACTTCGAATTATTTAGTTACAAATATTTAAACTTTAGATAAAGATGAAAATTTGTTTTAATTATTATGTTTGATCAATTTTGCATTCAAAATGCTATACTGAAAAATGTTTAATAAGGCCACTTTGTCCCTGGCACTCTGAGATGGGACTCGAACTCATAACCTTTCGTTATCCGGGCGACTGCTCTAACCACTGAGCTAACCAGAACCTAGCTGGACTGACGAATTTTTCAAGCACTTGTTACTTTTTCCCTACTTCAGAGCGCATATTGGGTTTTAGTCCGATTTAGTTGCTTTTTCAAAAACCGTAAAATTTTCAAATGAAAGACTGAAAAATACAGGGAAATTTAAAAATTAACAAATCATTGATCAATCTAGAAAAATGTATTAGCGGCCAATTGATTCATAAATGATCTAAAGCAAAAGAAATGAATAATACTTGAAAACAAAATGAACTTAGTTACCACAGTTTTCTTTTTCAGGACTTTTTGAGATAAATGTCAAAATAGCAGTTATTGTAAATTAAGGATTCTCAGTAGTGAATGTTGTAAATAAAGGATAAAATCTGTTTTAGTAAACAAAAAGTGCTACACATGTTACTTATTTCACGTTAAGTGATAAAAATAAGTCAGGGTAAAACATTTCACAGGCAAATAAGCCGAGCACTGTAACAGAAGAAGTTTGAATGCTAATCGAAACACAAGGACTTGGGTCCCTTTGATCCTTCGGGAACTCAACTGATTTTTGGGTACAACCCTTTGTTTTTTTATCTCTTAGTAGTACAATGCAGAAGAGACAGCGGAATCATGAGTATAATTGAATTTGTAAACTTGCAAATGAAATTTTAAACACGATATAAATTTAATAAATAAACGATTGCTTGCAATATGCTGTATTTTAATAATCATAACGTGTCTTTATTGATTCTTTATAAAACCGTGAAAAATATAGCATGCTTTGAGTTCATTTTCGTCTGAGTTTTTAAATGCAAGGGTTCAATCAATACAGTATTCAAATATCAAAAACTTCCTATAATTGATTATTCGTAAGTTGTTAGCAATTTTAGCTGTAGTTAGCAAAACCTGTAAAATTTTGTTTTATGGATTTATTGAAGACGCGAATAAAAGGTTCAATCTCAAATATTTTGATTAATAAAATCTAAAATCAGTGTGTTTACTCTTTGAGTAAAGAGCTTTTGAGGATTTTCTTTGCTGTGGCAAGCAGTGTATAATATCAAATTCAACAAATTTTTGAGTTTTTCGATCTTGTCAGCAGACTGTTAAGTCATGTCCTAATCTTAAATCTAGCTCATATTGTTACTAAAAGTCACTATGGCGTCTTAGCTTAGCAATTAAGATTTTAAGTACATGTGTTTATATTGATGATAAAATTCCAATTAATATATTTAACAAAGCTATATTAACTTGTAACTTGGCCCGTGCCACACGTTCTATTGATCCCACTGTGGTTCTCTTAACTTCAGAAACGGCTAAGTCTGCAAAAGAGATGTTTCTGTAATTTCGCCTGAAAAAGGGGCTGATCTTGAGCCCCTGAAGACCTTTCATCTTAAAAGAGTTTACCCCCATTCCATATTATGTAATATTGGAAAAGAAATAGATCCACTTTGATTATATTTACGCTTGGACTACTATATAGTTCAGTATTTATGCTTTTTTGCTGTAATTCAACTCGATTACGGCGAAGCGGGTTATGATTTAAATTTAAAAGGATTTTGGCCGGTATGTATGAATGTTCATCTATTCCCTTATGACTTCGAAATTATTTATCGTAAATGGACAAATGAGATATCATTAGAAGCGTCTTAGTTGCCCGCGTGCTAAAGGCTACGTAACGTTACATTATATTTGCAACAGCGTCCTCTAGAGAGCATAAAGTAAGAAACTTAACAAAAATATTATTCAATCATTCCATGTAGGGTAAATGAAAGGGCTTAAGTAGTCTATATATTCATAGCTTTTGCTTACGATTTTACTTTAATACTCACAAAACAATTAAATAAAAAATATTATAACAACGATGACCAAAGGACAGCGTGATCAGTGGAATACAGTTGTATTTCATTAATCATAACAAAACAGGTTGTTGTGGCATACGACTACGCTGTCTTTTGTTATCGCAATTATAAATATCGCTATAAATTAAATTTCTTGTTACAAACTTTTTAGAGCGTGATTTAGCTGTAGTCGTGTCTTAGTTCTTTAACTTATTTTTTCTAAATCAAATTTCGTCAAAATTTTTTCAATAACTAAAAATATTTCAGAAATACTGTCATAGATGTCATTATGAGATAGTTCATATAATTGCATATTATAGACAATTTTATTTCGAACTAGGTTAGTAGGAATAATAAAATTTTGTATATAAATCTCCAGACTCGTATTCGTAATACCCAGGTATATTATATCATAATAAAAATTATTGTTTACATAATAAACTTAATTCTGTACTTATTAAAGATCATTTGTATACCATTATCATAAAACTAGAACGGAAGACATAAATTTTTCACGTTTAAGTATATATTTGAAACAACGTAATAACATTGTAAATTTCCCTTCGGTGATGTTAAAACCGCGTTATCGTTTTATAACTGCATCAAATCGCTTGCTTGAAATAATCACGTAAAGCCAACAAGCCGTTTGCGGTGCGCCGCTCCGGTACTCAACTTTACCCTGTACAAATAAGGTTCTATATTGTAAAGTAAAGAATTTATCTGCGACATACTTAGGAAGAAATCACTCATATGATATTAGTTCCGAGTGATTAGTTCTGAATGGCGAGCGAACGAGCATTTGAGCCTAACCAGATGAGTAGGAAACGCCTTTGAGATTGATTCTACTTGATTGACAATACATTGAAGAATATAATCTAAATACGGAATCCACTTAGTTCTTTTTTAATTTTTAGGAGTTCTGTTTCTATTTACCTAGATAGATGGGTATATTAAGACACATAGAAAGAAACAATAATTAGATAAGACTGCAATTCATTTAGAAAGTCTACTAGTTGATTTATTTTTCTTAATCTACATGTGGATTTCATTGGAAATAAAATATTAAAAAAGAATCAATTGATCAATTTTGTTAAAAAAATATACAACCTTATAAAAAAAATATATTATAATAAATTATAAAAATAACATCAGAATAATTTGTGCAGTGTATGTTAGTAGCTGTTATTTTTATTAACCTAAATTCACTTCACACTTCGTCGTTAAAAATAAAAGGTTCAAAATATCAAGCAAGTGTTAACCAGCAATAATATATGTATTTAAAAATCATTATTTGTTGGGAACGCAACGTTATTACATATGTTAGTCTTGTAGGGGTAATAAGAATGGAACTACTGAGAAGCATTCCCACCAAGCACGTCCTGTATTACAACTATCTACATCTACACGAAACTTTAATAATGAAACGCCATAGTTACATTAGCTTTGATCGTCAAAAGTTCGATAATGATATATTAAACTCTGAATACCTTTAATCCTTAGTAAGTTTTTTTGCAATCGATCCTAATTGAAGCTAGAATGTCAGACAAATGAATGATGAAACTTTTATAGTTACAACGCAATAGTTGGTTTGATCGCGTATTGTAGTCGGAGCATGAAGAGAGTTTTCATAAGAACCTACGAGTACGAATATGTCGAGGAAGCGAAAGATGTGTGGAATGACCGTGCCTTGTGGTATTTAATCCTCTCTGCCCGCCAAGTAAAAATGCAAAATATAACTATGTTTACATGTAAATAATAAATAAGTATTAGACAACATCACATTCTTACTTAAATTCCAAGATGAGTAGCTAATACAACTGTATTATTGATTTTCTGAGACGATCACAAAACCTATTATTATATAGGTACTCGTTCATTGATTTAACCGGGAATCGAATCTGGGACCTTGAAACCGGCGTGCGAACCACTCGGCTACGAATGGAGGTCGTTAAGTAATCACTATGAGCATCTTTAAAAAATTGAGTCATTTTAAATTTAATTAAATCTCATCAGCCTGAAATAATTAATGTCGTGCATTATTCTTATTTATTAAATTCAGTAAGAAATCACTTAGTTTTCTAACCAAACATTACCTCAAACCCGAACCAGCTTAAACCAGCGCCTCAAAAATTCAATTACAACGATTGTATTAATTAAAAAAGTTGTCATACAAAGTTTATTGGGTTCAAGGTAACCACGACTAAAACAGAAATTGGTCGAGAACCTTCGGGGTAGCAATAAAATGATAATGCCGTGGTTTAGGTGCTTTAATTGCCTTTTATAATGCTTACGGCAATTCAGTATAAGGGTTGGGCTCGAACCTTGTAGTATTTGGAACGTAACGTACGTTTAATAAAAGATGTAAATCTTATATATGTTTGAAACGTAACTTTGATAAGTAAGCTTTAAGTTCTAGTAACTCAACTAAAATCCTATTCAGATTTTCATATAAATGTCTTCAAGATATTCAGTACAAACGTGATAAAAATATAATGTATATATAAAAATTAAATGATCAGTAATTCACCTACCTCCACTGGGAATTGAAGCCGTTGTGGCAACGCAGAAGCAATGTAGCAACAGGGAGAGCAGCATATTGTTCGTCATAGCGCTTAGGGTGTCTGATCACATCCTCTCCGCCACACTGATGCTAGCTGGATCATGACAGTTGAGTCGACTCACATTCTCCTTCTCATGTTTGTGGAACTCTGGAATAAAATAAGATTTCTCATTCAACTTATCTTTGAATTTTCATTATATTGATTTATATTATATCTGGTCTGATATTGAACAAAGAGGACTCAGTTGATCAAACATACTTAATATTACCATGGTTGTGGTAACCCAAACCTTAGTTCATCAGAATAAACTGATGAGAAAAAATTAATAATGGAGCAAAAAGAACATCTAACATTCCTCCGAAAGTAAGATATAGTTATTGCTAAAAAGAACTAGTAGGTCCAGAAAGCCAAGTGAACTCTGATCATAAATTAATTCTTCAAGATTTATCCATACGCTGTTTATAAAGTGAAAGTCTTTGGTATTGCAGATATAGATAACAGATAAACATAAACTATGTATTACGTATCTTTATAAGCCAGTTATATTACTTAACTAATTATACAACAGATTCATGTTTTTTAATTCTTTTGATATTGTATTTTATACAAAAAAAGTGACCAAAAATCATTTCTTAAAGTACGCCTCCTAAAGATTCAGCATAAAATTAAGTTCATATGATTAAATCATGATACAAAATTATTAGCACTTTTGTGATGCGACAGATTATCTGTCTTGAATCCCTTTCATTTTTTCAGTTATTCAATCTACTAAATGGCGTTTTATTTTCTGATTTGAAAAATCACGCCAATATTCTACTTAAACCAAAAAGTTCGCCTTTCTACTTTCACAATGGTAAAATTGAAGACTGACTTTAGTCTATTGAAGAATTATTATTTTATGTCTCATTTATAACAAGCATATTTTCAATTACGTTATAAATAGCGAGTAATATTAAAGTTTCTTCTTGGAAGGTAATCTTAGTTCATTGACTTCTAAATAACAATATGTTGGTCATATGAACAAAGTTTAATGTTTATGTTCGGTAGATATTTTCTTTTCATCGTTCATACTTTAAAAAAAAATTTTCTTGCTTACAGTAGCTAAAAATATAAGCAAAATCTATAATTAAAGTGAAGGAGATACCTTTTAACATATTTAACAGATAGTCTCAGGTGCTCGAGATGAGATTTTAACTCTTAAGCTTGCGTCAACCGGATGATTGCTCTACCAATTAAGCTAACGCAAACATGGACGCCTTAGGGCCAGTTTTTTGATCCGTAGTCAAATGTCATTTCACCATTTATTACCTAGACTATAGTTAAAACATTAACAAGTTGATAACTCGCTTTTTCGTTTTTTGATGCCAAATTAAACCATAGCCAAATTTAACCACTGGCCAATTTGTTGCCAGCACAATGAGTCCTTTTTTCGCTATACATTGACATGGGTAATTTTTTTCTGGGTGACAACACTAACGGTTTGAATGAACGGAGCGAACTATATACCATTTTTGACATTAGGATTTTGTTCCAAATATCAAATAGACGAAAGAAATCTATAGATTATCAAACAATGTGGATGTTTATGATTGTTCTGTTGTGTGCACTATGTGTTATTTTTCAGGAAATATAAGGCAATTTCTTTAATAATGTTAGAAAGCAACAAAGATATTTTTTTCCAGTTATTTTAAACTTAACTTTTTTTAAAAAGCATATATTTGTTTTTTGTTTATCTTTTAGAGAAATATGTGAAAAGAATATAGTATCTAGTATCCAAGGTGGGATTGTTATGTTGGAAAATAAATCGAGGACTATGTATTTTATGTACTATAGGCATATTTACCTTTTGTATTGTCTATTCGTGGATTTTATAAGATTTTTAATAATTGAATCAAAGTCAAAGTCAAAATAATCTTTATTCAAATAGACTTCTTAAAAGTACTTTTGAATCGTCCAACATTTTTTCCCTACCACTCGTTCAGGACGTCTTTTGGCTGATAAGAAGAACGAGCAAGAAACTCACCAGCTCTAATATGAGTAATGACATTTACAAAAACCATGTCATTACCAGATCAATACATTATAAACAGAGATAAAAAAAAAAAAACTATGGTCTTATAATAATAACATAATCATTTAATAATAATGGAAACAAGATAATGAGTTTAGAAGTAATCACCTATCCAGTTGCTGGATCATCTCAAGTCCAAGCGTTCTTATCTGTTACATAATCGGATACCTTATAATAAGCTTTTTTAATAAGTATTTTTTTAATAGTAGATTTAAACTGCATGATATCTAATTGTTGTATTTTGCTTGGGACCTTATTGTAGAAGCGCACACAAAGACCCTTGAAAGAGTTATTAACTTTTTGCAGTCTAGTGACAGGCACCGTTAATTTATTTTTATTTCTTGTATTAAAATTGTGTACATCACTTTTAATAGAAAACAAACTAATATTTTTACGAACGTACATTAAGTTCTCGTATATGTATTGAGAAGCAACAGTCATAATGTCTATTTCCTTAAATTTCTCCCTTAAAGAGTCCCTAATCCTAAGATTATAAATTGATCGAATTGCTCTTTTCTGAAGCACAAAAATTGTTTGTATGTCGGCAGCATTTCCCCACAATAGGATACCGTATGACATAACACTATGAAAGTAACTGAAGTATACTAATCTGGCAGTATCTATGTCAGTTAACCTACGTATCTTCATTACGGCATATGCTGCAGAGCTAAGTCTACTCGACAATCTATCAATATGTGGGCCCCACTGTAGTTTAGAATCTAATGTTATTCCTAAAAATACTGTGGTATCCACAAGGCCCATGTTCTTATCTTTTACATTAACATTTATATCTACTTTTTTAACATTAGGTAGTACAAATTTTAAGCATTTTGTTTTTCCTTCATTAAGGAGAAGATTATTTACATTAAACCAATGTACTACTTTAGCGATAGAATTGTTCACATCGTCATTTAGAGGTAACCCTCTTTTAATTTTAAACAAGAGTGAAGTGTCATCCGCAAACAAAACTATTTCGTGATCATCCCTTACGAAATAAGGCAAGTCATTTATGTAAATCAAAAACAAGAAAGGACCAAGTATTGAGCCCTGCGGAACGCCCATCTTAATTTTCGATCCAGGGGATCTTTTGCCATTGATATCAACCCTCTGTACTCTGTCAGTCAAGTATGAGACAATAAAATCCAATGAGTTATCTCTAAATCCATAAAAATGCAGTTTCCTAATCAATGTTTCATGAAAAACACAATCAAATGCCTTAGATAGGTCACAGAAAACACCTAACGCATCATGTGAATCCTCCCAGGCATTAAAAATTTCTTGTATTAACTCGACACCGGCTTCGGTTGTCGAGCGACCCCTTGTAAAACCAAATTGTTGTCGATTCATAAGCTTATTCTTGTAAAAGTACGTTTGTATTTGATCCAGCATGATTTTTTCAAAAATCTTACTAAACGTAGGTAGCACGGATATAGGTCTAAAGTTAGTAGGGTCAGATGTGCTACCCGATTTATGTAAAGGAATAATTTTACTATATTTCATGAGCTCAGGAAAAATACCACAATCAGTACATTCATTAAATATATAAGCTAAGATTGGAGCTATTGTCTCAATTACCGATTTAGAAACTTCAATGGAATTACCCCATAAATCAGCAGTTTTCGTTTTCTTTAGCTGATTAAAAGATTTTATTATATCTTTAAAATCAATGTGTTGAAACTTAAATTGGCTATTAGAATTATTTAAACTTGCCTTTAAAATAGATTCAGCAACAGTGGAAGAGGAATTCAAAGATTGTGTAATTAAGACTGGAATTTCAGTAAATAAATTTTCAAATACTGTAGCAACTTCAAGATCTGATGTTACTTTTTTATTATCAATGTTTAAATTAAAATTTATATTCCGGGATTTTTCTCTTCCAGTTTCACTATTTATGATATTCCACGTCATTTTAACTTTGTCTTTACTATTTTCAATTTTTGCATTTAAATAATTACATTTGGCTAAACGACACACTTTTTTAAATAATTTAGAGTAATTTCGTACATATTCTTTGAAGTCCTCACTTGTGTTATAATTACGTTCATCATATAGTTCATAGAGCCTTTTTCTGCTTTTGTAGATTCCTGGTGTAGCCCACACACTAAAAGTTATAGGATTACTAATACTTATTTTTTTTGGGACAAAAATCTTATTGAATTCTGTACAATAAACATCAAAGAAATCTTTGTACAAATCATTGGGATTACTATTATGTTTCAAATGATACAATTTACTATCTAATTGATTTTTAAAACGTTCCAAGCGACTCATACTTTTTGACACAACTGTAATGTCTCTCCTAGCCACAAACGTACATTTATGCGGAAAGCTAACTAGTTGTCCAAAATGATCTGACGGTAGTTGTTTAATTATCTGTCTTGAAAGTGGTACTAGATCTGTAAAAATGTTGTCAATACATGTGGACGAAGTAGCAGTTACTCTAGTAGGCTCCTTAAACATGTGCGCAAGATTATAGGACATAAATAGATTTACAAGTCTTGTACATGAATTGGAGTTTCCTAATAAATCAACGTTAAAATCACCCCCAATCACTAATCGTTTGCCTTTGCTATATACCTTTTTTAATGCTTCATCCATAACAGTTTCAAAGAGATCATAATGAGAAACTAAACTTGAAGGAGGTCTATATACGCTCAGTACAATCAGCTGGTCCAGCTCTATACAGGCAATCTCTATTATTTCCTCAACCGATAGGCTCACTATATCTCTACGTTCTTTAAATTTAAACTTTTTATTTAATAAAATTAGTGCGCCACCACGCATTGCGTTTTTCCTAATGAACGCGCTACCAACCAGGTGATTATTGAAGTTAAAAATGCAATTATAACTTGTTAACCAATGTTCCGTAATACAGAAAAAATCAACATTGTTACAGTTCATGAATAATTCCACTTCTAACTCTTTGCTCAACATTCCTTGAACATTTTGGTGCACTAGGTTGATGACTGAAAAACTCTTGGTTCCATTATTACTTTGACTATTCAATAGCAAGCAAGAGGAATCCTCTGTTGTCTTAGTATCTAATTTAAAGACGAATTTGTCGCAATGTCAGTAGGATTATTACTGACAGTCATGTCAATAGAAGAGTGCTCAATAGGAGCACTCTGGTTAGCCAAATTTTTGGCTGTTATAGAAAAAAAATATGATAGCGAAATAGCTATTTGTCTCTTATAATAATTGGAAAGATAATATTTATCTTTAGTCAAATAAAATTTTCTAACATACTTGTTAGTGTCAATGACATGAAACTTTGCAGTATTGCATATAGTGTGCAATGTCATATTCAATTTGTATCGCAAATTATTTTCTTCATTGGACAAACTATTGCAATACGGCAACGTAAAAATCACGACTTTCCCAACACTTAATGTATTTAATTCGTTTATATATTTCAATAATTTATGTTTGTTCAAAGTACCTCTATTGCCAATAAAAAACAATAAAGTGGTATTTTCGCTGTAGTTTTGTTTAATTGCTTTTTCCAAAATATCACTAAAAGAGGAATTAGGCATACAGAAGTTTAATGTTGAATGGCCCTTATCGAATAGCAAACGGCCCATGTTTCTGCCAATTTCATCACTGAACATTAAAATATTATTTTTATAATTTTGTGAATTTATTCTGTGACGTTGGGAAAATTGTGATGGGGAGCAGTCATCAGTAACAGATGACTGAACAGGTACCTGAGTAAACAGTTGTGACTGGTGGGCAGATGACTGACAGGGTTTCTGTGTAACTGTATTTATAAATTGTTTCTGAATATTATTATTGTTATTGTTACTAAAGCTGTTATTTGTTTTGTTAATTAATTGTTTATTATTTAACAGTGAATGGTAACGGTCAGCATTGTAATTGCATAGGTTAACCAACTCTGTGGCAGACCTAATATGCTCATCAATCTGAGACTGTGCAACTAAATATTTATTTTGTATTAATTCTATTGATTCATGTAATTTTTTTATTTCAAATTGAAATTTTTTTGTATCCCGGTCATACATCTGCCGAGTTTCACATAATTTATCACTATATATTTCCAAAGAATCCATCAGACTACTGCGTTGTTTCCTCAAGGCAATATTTTTATAAAAACAATTATTCTTCTTTATCAATCTCTCAGTTTTCTGGATAACTTTTCCAATTTTAATATATTTCTTAAGTTTCCTAGTACTTAAATTAAAATTGATCTGACTCTTAGAGTGTATATCACAGGCTGTTAGTTGATGCCTCATCGACTGACCTCCAGGTGATGCTACCAGTTCTTCAAAAAGACTTTGGGTGTATTCTGCTTCATGTTCTTTTTGTTGTTTGAGCAGTAGTTCTATTTTATTATTGGCCAAGTTGAGCTCCTGTTCCAGTTCTGTGATGCGGTTGAGTACCCTCTCATGAGTATTTAATTCTTCTTTGAGAGTACTGAGCGCATCCTTAAAATGGTCCCTTTGATGCATTACTTCTATATGCTCAGTATGCAGTTCACCAAGCTCACTCTTCAGTTGTGAGTTCCGACCAATAATACGTTTGATTTCTTCTTCACTTTCATCTCGTTCCTGTAGTAACTGGTTACATGTGTCCTTTGAATCCTTTAGCTCCTGTAGTGCTTGCCTTAACTGCATTTCTGTATTTTGTGCAGCAGCCTTACGGGTCAACATATTGAATCAAATTTCCCGGTTTGTGATGCAGCAGTCCACAATTATATCTTTTCTTGATAGATTTTTGTTTGTTTTTCGTCTTTATCTTCTCCGACAGATAGACGTTACATATTTGTCTGGCACGATTATTTGAATGTAAGCGATTATATTTACATGGTAAGATCAATTATCAACACTTAAGGCTTTGTTTTCACTTTCACAAAACTAATATTAATAAATATCGCGATTTATTTAATTTAAATTAAATTTTAAATAAAATTAAATCAGCTGTAACGATTTGACAACCGTACACGCCAGTGTTGCCACAGGTTCATCAATAATTTGGCATATGCCCGTGGAAACAAGAAAAAATATTTTATATAAAAATATAACTTATTTTCAATAACCCTATAACCCAAAAATGACAACGAATATTTTCCTATGAAATTGCATCATAAAACGAAATCCCAAAAATAGCTAATATCCAAATTCACTATGAAATCATGTAGGTTATAAAAACAACGTAAAACAATAACAAGGGACCAAGTAAATACAACGCAGTTGTACATCTGTTCTTTTAACCATTGGTCATTTAGAGTCAGTTTTTTGATCCGTGCTTAACTCAACTATATTCTTCTCACGTATTTCTCTATAAAATAAATAAAAAACAAATATATTCTTTTTATAAAAAAACTTTAAAATAACTTTAAGTTTAAAATAACTGGAAAAAAAAATCTTTGTTGCTTTCTAACATTATTAAAGAAATTGCCTTATGTTTCCTGAAAAATAACACATAGTGCACACAACAGAACAACCATAAACATCCACACTGTTTGATAATCAATAGATTTCTTTCGTCTATTTGATATTTAGAACAAAATCCTAATGTCAAAAATGGTATATAGTTCGTTCCGTTCATTCAAACCATTAGTGTTGTCACCCAGAAAAAAATTACCCATGTCAATGTATAGCGAAAAAAGGACTCATTGTGCTGGCAACAAATTGGCCAGTGGTTAAATTTGGCTATGGTTTAATTTGGCATCAAAAAACGAAAAAGCGAGTTAACAACTTGTTAATGTTTTAACTATAGTCAAGTTAACAAATGGTGAAATGACATTTGACTACGGATCAAAAAACTGGCCCTTACTTAACCTAGCTTCCAGTGATGATTAAATTTTTTGACAAATGGTTGTAATTCTGACAATTGGTTAGGATAACTATTAATCAAAAAATATATTTTTCTGATATTTAACCATATGTCAACGATTTTAACAAATGGTTGAGTTAAGCACGGATCAAAAAACTGGCCCTTAGCAGGACTTTTCTCAGGTACTCGTTACCTTTGGTGTTATAAAGCACATTTTCATGTTTTTGTCATTATTTATTAAAAACAAGGTTGTTTGAAAAAAATTGAAGAAACTAGAGTAATCTGAGCGTATACCAATTTCAAATCAGAGACAGTTACGAGACAGTCGTAAAAGATCGCAAGAAACACGGGGTCGTTGCGCACTGACATCGTTGGTCGTAAATAAAGTAAATTAGTGGCCCCCACGATTGATGAGCTCGTAAACATCCGCCACTCGGCGATATTCGGCTATTAATGTTATTGTGAGTTACAGAGACCCAATTAATGTATGCCTATAGCAATTATTAATGAATCATATATTGAATGAACAGCTCATGAAGTTCATTTTAAAAATTTACAAGTAATATCTAGCACTACGAGAGTTTTGGACTTACGATAAACACTATCTCTTCATGCCAGATTCTTGCAAGTTAGTTGCAAAGTACTGCTGCTGCTTCGTTTCTTGCTCTGTGTTTTGCTTCCCACATACATAAATTAATACATTTATTGAAAATTTGCCATTTTCCAGCGTTTTCGCCCGCGTTAATTAAATTATAGTCTTGGTCACTAGATTTTCAGAATTAGTTAGAGAGTCTATATAATACTAACATAAGACAAAATTTTGGCGTTTTATTATATCAGTATGAATAATTATAAATTCCATCTAATGAGAGAAATACTTATAAAAAAGCTCTTTTGTGGATTTCAAATTAATGGTAAAATAAAAAACACATATCTAATTAAACGGAAATAAAATATAATTTAATTACCGTGGCCATTATTTTTTCTTGATGTCAAAATAATTAATTCCGGACATCTTGCTGGACAAGTTATTGCGTGAGCAAGCGTTGTATTGTAACAACATTGTCTATAGAATATTATTGATCCTCTTAATTAGTAATGCTCCAATAAATGAGATGGTTACCATTTCTTAGCATCCTTCTTCTAAGTCTATCCGAATTGTTTATTAAAATGTGTATTCTTCAATTCTATAAAAAATGTATTACATTGTATATTTTCCGTGGGTATAGTATATCTAGTAACTGATATTTCCTATTTAGATAGATAAATAATATGAAACGGAAAGTGCTAACTTAGATGTAGATTGAGTATCATCACTTTTCAGAATGACGCATTAATCTTTGTTTACTGACATGTGCGGTTTATTTTGCAGGCCAAAAATTTACCAATAACGAGTCATGCCTACATTTGTAATGTTCGCTTCATTAAAATTTTGTTCAAAGATGGTGAATATAAAACAACCAAATTAATGTTTCGTAAAAAAAAATTGTGTGAAAATAAAATATCTTAACATCAACCAAATAACTAGTTCTTAATATTCAAAATATCTAAAACAATCACTTCATAGATATCTATATAATTGTAGGTCCAAAATTAGAAATAAATCAATATTTGTTTCTAATTTTGGATCTACAACTATATAGATAGATACTATTGGGATTAGCTAACTAACCAATGACGTCGTAAAACAATGAACCGACCATTTGTACATCGAAACAGAGCGTTACCTGCCTATAACATTATTGGTACCATAAAGATCGTCGTTGCTCCGAATTCGTACTATAGCAAATACTAGCAATTTACTTTATTACAGTCGTCGTATATACGCCAAAAATTATTGAGCTCCGAAAGGTCCGCTACTCGTCTTTTCCTAGTCTGTAACTTTCATTGTGAAGGTAACATGGAGGTTCCGTAAAAAATGGTGGTGATGTAGGTTCATAGTAGATGGTGAGCCTCGTTCCGCGACAATTTTTTTCGAGCTAAATTCGGTGCACGAGACCTCTATTTGTCAAACATGGTCCCGAGAGACACGTGGGTAGGATACCGGGTGTCACCATTGTGTTGGATGGAAAAGCGAGAGCTGTAAAATGTTGTGACGTTAGCATGAATTTGAATTATGTTCCTTTGTAAGGTTGGCATTCGTTACCTTCACTAATTTGAAGGATTACCTCACAATTGGGAGATAGATGGTCAATGAATTATGAAAATTCCACGCTTAAATTCACAGTTTAGGCGTTGCGTAATGCCATAAACGTTGGCTTTATATATTAGTAAGGCGCCATTTTTATAGTAATTAGGCAAACATAAAAATAATAAATTATTACAAATATGTCGCTTAATAACGGTCATAAATCTAACTTAAGTAGAATCATTAAAAATAAAATAAACTGAAGTATATAATAAATGTCGTTAATTTGTACTTTGTCAGGAATTACACATACATGGCCAAGAAAATATAAAATATTGAAAATGTTTTTCATAATTACAAATACTGAGCAAACAGAGCGTAAAATATATATTTGCAGGTGCAGGTGGCCTTTAAAAGCGACCGGTAATAAAAGCAGCAATTCAGATTTTACAGTTTAATCTAGCAAAAGAAGCTAGATTTAAATCTCATTGGTTTAAAGCAACCGAAGAACTGGCGAGTAATGGAAATGCGATGCTTTTGTATAACAGCTTGCTTCACTAAACCTTAAATTTTTATTACTGTAGAAGTTTTTCCGCTAATTGGTAAATGACTGCTTTAGTGGAAGAACTTTCGAGAACAAGAGCCATTGTCTTCCATAAAGATTCATTAGTGGAGCAATGTTTAATTAAACTTTCTGGCCTTGTCCACAAAATTATTGGGCCGATTAGAATGGATGGAGAAATTTGGATTGTGTTATGACTTTACAAAGTTTCAAATATTTACTGATATATCTTGGCCAAAAAATTTAATCATAAAACATAAAATTAATCATTCCTTTATCTTTAAAGTGCTTAAAGCTTATTCAAATAAAAAAATAAACAAATAGTGGGATAAAGATGATTTATGTTTATTATACAAAATTAATGTTAGGCTTTATCGTATCAAAATATAAATAAAGTAATTACCGGTGAACTTAGGCATTTAATCTGTCCTGAATCATTTTCTGGAACAATAGCGTCGAGGGTCCTTAGAGAGGTTTTAGTTCAATGACCCCTCAATCCCGGCCTAATCCCTGTCCAGATTAGAATCCGACATTCTATTTGTAGGTACATTAAGTGGAACCCACCATTAGTTTGAAGAGGCTTGTGATTAAATCGATCCGAGAGTTAGTTTAGCACTAATATGCCTATGTATCTTAATAATTTGTTACAAAATTGCTTAGGGCACCATTTTGTTTTACACTGAAATCCCTTTAAGTCGAATAATATTATGTAGCAACGAAATAAATAAAATTAGTCATTACTCTTCGTCACCTAAAACTTTAATTCACCAAAAAGCAGGTTCTTTATTATAAATATATGATATGATGAATTTTCGTTAAGCGTTAAAAGAGATTATAGTAGTAGTATACACTACTATAATCTCTTTATGGAAGAAAAAAACGATTAAAGTAAGAGTATTTTTTTAATCTTTATCATAAATTTGATTAGCATTAAATTCTGTAAAATCAATGCATCAAATTTTTCGGAATCACAACGACTAAACTTAATATCCCTAACACAAGGTACTTTACTTCGTTCGGAATGCTGCCAATGTTAGATTATTGCCAGTCGCCAGGCAGTCTCTGTATAAATCGCCACTTGGCACAGTTCAACCTACTGCCAGTTTTTATTTACATTCTTTTAAATCTTTTTATTAGCTTTTAAATGTGTAGATACTGTAATTTTTCGAATCGTTATTATTTTATATCAGTCAATAAACTTTCTCTATATAACCAAGAACGTATTTTAACATCAATATCTTATAAAAAAAGATAAATTAAAACTATTTAAATTACCAATATGTTGGTATATTAGAAATTACTTGCTTTTTCCGGTAGAATCTGTTAATTAACAGGGTATCGTGATTATAGTAAAAATAGGTTCCCTGTCTTATAACCTCCCATAGTGAAAATCACTTGACCTCCACAATCGTAGATAAAATCCATTAACTACTGTGTCATCAAATGCTTCAAGTGAACTGATTAATGGATATTTTTTTTTAATAATGCATTTGTAATCAAGACATTGGAACTTGTTACGTAACTAGAACACCAAATTGTTTTTACCTGTTAAAATCTTTACTTTTTAAACATATGAACATAAAATATTTCAAAGGGTTTTTAATGAAAATATGAAAAGACTAACAAAAGTGTACTTACAAACGAGAATACTTTAAACTTGTCGTAGTGTTCATTAAAGAGTGGAGTACCTCAAGGCTCTGTAATGGGGCCGCTACTTCTCTCCCTTGTTATCTCATACGATGCCTCCTTTGTTGCATCTCTATACTTAAGTTACGTGTATATCTGTCCTGTTAGTTCTGAGAACCACATGCAATGATCGTTAGAGCCACACGAATACCACAAGCTTGTACAATTACTTAACTGAATAGTTTAATTTGAAGTTCTGTTTGCAAACTAACGTGGAACACAATCCTATAAGGAGTTATGTTTATTTTCTAAGTCATTATTTTACAATTACACTAATATTATATAAATTGCACTTTCTATTTGAATATTTCGGACACTCCACAACAAGACGACAGTGGAAGGATGAAAATGCGTGAGTTTATGATATTGTAGCGAACCTTAGGAGAGGCCGACGTCTATATGTGGATTGCACCAGACTGACGATGAAACTGAGAGCTGGTTATGGACATTTTTATTTATTACATTTTATGTATTGTTTCTTTACTTTTTTCATGAAGAATAGTGTATTTCCATTCTTATATACTATGCCAATGAAAACTGATACGACTTTTATAATTTATATTTTTTTATACTATAAAAAAACATTATTTATAGCATAAATAAATATATATATAAAAGATAAAATGATAATTTTTAAAGCATGATATAAAAGACTGATGTCAATAATTTATTATTTTCGTTTCCTTTAAAGCGACGCCATTAGCGTCCCGTTGAGTGCTTCACTCGGAGCTCGAATTTTCCACTTCTAAAAGGAATTTTCTAGAACAAACTCCCTGTTACCGTGCGGATGTCTAAATTTTATCTTACATTAAGTAAATCGGCCTTTTTACGAAAGGTGCTTATCAAATTCCTCTACTATCTGCAACGGTATCTATTGAGATGATTGTGCGTTTGAAAAAGGCGTCAAGCGTTCATTTGTAATTCAAGGCACAAGTTTAACGACGTGATTTGTTAAAAATATATATATATATATAAATGAAACTTTTAACTCAAATTCGTTTAAGATAATCTCCTCTTGAATAGCTGTATAAGTAAGTTGTATAAGTTTTATAAGTAAATATAAGTGACGTGAATCTCTAGTATGTTAGAATTTGCCTTAAAAGGTTACAGAGTGGCCCTAATGAGGGCTCCATTATGCCCGCGGGGTCTTGTGAAAGGTCGCGTGTTGTAACAGGCCTGTACTGATTCTTATAAAACGTCGATTATCGTTCAAGCTCACTCATTGTACTAAGCCCTAAAGTGGCTGGAGGCTGTACGTAGTGCGGGCCATTATCGCAGGGCCTTTTTGTCGTTTTCCTGTCCCTTTTTTGCGCCCCGGCCCGTGTAAGACAGATAGCGAATGGGTAATAATTGGAGGCTAAACCTTTTTTGTTGGCGACGCTTCGGGTTTTAATGCGATTTCAGCCCTTTACTCTGGTGATTTCATTTTGCGGATCATTAGACTGTATCAATGGATGATCGTGTACTGTTGTTCGTTAACAAAATCTAACCTTTTGTAATTTGTATCTCTGCATACACCTATATTGTTGAGGCCCGGTAGTTGGACCGACCTCTTTTTATACTTATCTTTGTTTTGATAGCTTTATTAAATATTTTGATAAATATTTGGTTTTGTTTTTGATATTGATGTTTGTACTTATTATTACCGACACCGAATTTAACGAAAACCTTGAAAAGGATCTTATTGTTTTATTTTCGCACCAGTAGTAGCTATACCATCTTCGCCGTCACCCTACTTCGTTATTATATACATATGCAAATAATAAAATGTAACGTATCTAATTTTAAAGTTTTTAAGGCATATGGATATGTAAATCTTGTTGATATCAGTATTAAAATCATATAATCAGTATTAAAAGATAAATTAATTTGATATTATTACTAAATATAATAATGTCCGTTTTCACTAAACCTAAGAGTCACCCAAATCTGTCGCTTATATATGTAGGAATCTCCGTAGGTGAAGATGCTTTTCGCGAATGACTAGGAACCACCTAACAATATTTATGTAATGTCTGAAGTTATGACATTCATTATGAGGCGCCTTACGCTAGGCGTTTGCGTAATATGACAGGTAACAAATGTGTCAAGAGATAAAACGAAAAATATATTTGGAATTAAATTAATCTACTTAGACGATTCGTAAGCTTTGGCATTCCCTAGGTAAAAACAAGACATAGCGTCTTGTTTTAGTTGAGTGAAAATGGGTGTTAAAATCATATTGTCGTCATAATAAATTTGCAACGACAAATGACTTTATCTGTCGAGTAAGTTATCATACTGTCCTATCAGAAAGTAAGAAGATGCTACGAAATCTTCAAAAACGAATGACAATATTATCATTGCGGGGTGTAATAAAGTGTCCCCCAAAACTCTCGATGCCGAAGAATCAATGAAATAACAGATAATATCAGGCATCGTTACTGACGAAAACAAAAAAAGAACTCGACAATCTGAACCGTAGCTTATCTGAGCCGTTTGTAAATGAACTAGGGCCGCTGTAAAATAGGATTAAGGAGATCAGCATGAAATTCATCGCCAATCTTTTTCCCCCGGCGAGATTGTAAGAAATATGTGGAAATATCTCCACTGCACCTCATTACCAAGTCTTGCCTGAACGGGAAATTAATTTATGGCTTAATACAAGGGAGCTGTTATGTTACGGAGATGGTGCAAGCAATAAAAAGTAACCGATGAGCTCTGATGATAGAATATATAATAAGAGAAAAGATAGTTTAAAGGCACTAACGCACATATTAAAATGTAAAACAAATTTCCTTTTTATCCAGCTTCCTAAAATCTTGACTCCTTTTTTTGAGATGTCAAAGAGTATTTGAGAAGTCCGGCAATACTAGATATATCTCTGGCTACCAAGAGTTGCATAGACGCATAGACTCCAAAATATTTGTCTTAGTTTATTTTAATTCTGTAAGGCAGTGCATAGGCTTCCAAAACTCACCATATATGCGTTATGAGTTCAGCCATCTTTATTGAAGTCTCTATTGAAAAATATCAATAAAAAAAGAACAGTGTCCGAACGCCGCTCGCGCATCGGACACAACAGCTGGATTAAACCTCCAGCGACCCGGACAGGCGGTATACTAAATAAGTGAGCTGTTTGCATTGCTATAGCTTTCCCAGATATTAACTATTTAACGAACATTTAAATTTTATATTTCATTCGATTTTGCTTTCATTTTACCAAATCTTTCTAAACTCTTGATTCTTCCATTAGTGATCTTAATTCCTAAAAAAATATGAGTATTCAATGTTTGAATCGCTACTTCTCAAAACTTGCGTTCCTTAGATAAACAAGTCGACAGGACGGGAATTTCTTTAAGCTCGGCTGTTAAATAAAATTTAGCGCTCGTCCTCGCGCGGGGTTATTTCGAATTGAATTTTTTAGCGTTGGAGAACCGGCCCTTATCACATGCCGAGCAGTTTTTCTTAACTGATATGATTACGCCCGTTGAGATGAAACGGGGGTTTAATTCAATTTGCTTTGCTTAAGAATCGTTGAAGTGTGGGTGAATTACTGAGCTTGGTTTGTTTTGTGTTTTTTTTATACTAACCAAAAAATATCATATCAGCTTTAGCTTTATTGCAAAATTTTGCGATTTTAGCACTAAGAACATGATCGGATTTTATTTAGGTGTGAAGGTACTTATTCAGTGATAAATACTGTCTTGTCCTCTATGAATCCAAGATAAAATGTTCTTATGTTTTGCTAAATTTTCATTAAAAAGACACTGCACTACTTAGTGCGATGTAAAATAAATTTTATTATTAATAAATAAAGCATAAAATAATTAATGAGATGAAAAAGCGGTCCTTACAGACATTCCCGGTATCCAATCATCAATGAAAGAAGCCATTTGTTATTTAATAGGCAAAAAGATTAAATAATAAATATATATATATATATATAAGTACTAGGAATATGTCATCTTCATTATTCGGAACACCATGATGTTAACAGTTAGTTCGTCTATTCCCAAAGTGAAACGTATAAACTGAAAAAGGTAACAAAAATATTATAATCTGACGAGACAACACCTGCTACCAAGGCATTAAAGATTTATGTGCAACACGAGACGCTCAGATATAATCTGATGCATGCATTTTGCCAGTACGCTATGTACATGTCTGAGTAGAGATATCTCACGTCGACACTTAACAAAATTTTAGGTCGTGGGTTCGATTCCCATATCATGGTGCCAGCGACCAAGTGGATTTTTTAAGCATTTTGTATTAAAAATATTAATGAGTTATCATTTGGCAATGGTTTTGACGTTATAACTTTAACTGTTAACTATAACTGCTTAAGCTTCGCTGGTTAAAGTTTCACTATACCAAGAAAGAGGAAATCTTAACTTAAACTGCTGTTATGGGTTAAAAAAGAGATAATCTACGCTGCCCCTATGCGGATTTCAGGGTATTAACGAGTACAAATGAAGCGGGACCAGCTGCTTTACATACCTTCCTAAGCACGGAGTAGACCGAGATAATAACTTTTTGGTCACCTATCCCGTGACCGACTTTTGCGAAAGCTGTTTAACAACATCAATCGCGGCCCCTCGGCGCTGATCATCTACGCCACGGAGCTACTCAAAATCATAGATACACATAATCAATACTTAACGGTTAGTTAATATTCGGAAAGTACAAAAATATTAGTGGTTACACGCAAGTACATTTTCTTACCACTACTGGAGAGGAATTAACAAAAACTATTTTATTTGCAAGAGTACAATTTTCATGCATACGAATTCCGTGTAATATGACACGAAACGCATTTCAATGTGGCGCAGCACTAGCGTCGGGCACGGTACGTGTTTACGTGTTTAATGTGAGCCCGTGCTCTTTGTAAGCGGTATGTTTTTACGGAATTAAACGGGGTTTAGAATATTCTCCGTTAAGCGTTAAAATAATATTAAAAGTTTACAAACGGTAAGCGAGAATGTGAAACGTTTTATATTTATTATCTTTATTTGTATTTGCTTTTAATATGTTTTATTTATATTACACTAGACCATAGTTCTTTTACATATATATTGTGTTGAAAATATTAGAAACCAAACTTAAGACGTCGTAATTGATGGATTTGTGAAGATTTTCATCTATTACAAATTTTTACGTGCAAAAAAACTGCTAGAATTTCAGTTTGAGATTCGACTGATAAAGCCAACATGATGTCTTCAAAAATTTGGTATATAATTTAGACACTTTAAACTCAAAATGGAAAACTTAACAGGAAAGCCAGTTATAGTTGTTAATCTCTTAAAAGATCGCATAAGAGTCTTGTTAAGGTTTTGTTTTAAAGAAACTTACTTTCTATCCGCACGACGTGTTTGAAACTCGAGTTTTTGTTACATATTCCTTGTTTACTTGAGGTTTCCCTGTATGCACGCTTCTCTTAAATGTTTTTACAGTATTATTAGAGAGTTTTCTCTCGTATAACAAAGCTCGTGGAAGTTTTATTATGTTAGTGTTGAAAACAGAACGCGTTGGCGCAATGTTTAGTATGTTCTATCTACGACTGCAGATTTTTATCAAATTGTGCCATTAACGGAGCATTTTATAAAGTAGTAAACTATTTCCGCTGCTTGATAGGCGGCAGGAGATGTAGAGGACTCTCCATCCACACGGACCTGTGCGAAGGTTAGTCGTGTTAAACATAGATGGCATACCAACTCAACGCCCTCCGTGCATCCCCTCTCTTTTAGAAGAAGGGATTAGATGTTTTTGAAGAACCCTGATATAGTAGGTAATTTTTATCTCAACTTCATAAATTGGAAATGTAATAAAAATAAAGTTTATATAACACCAACAAATTAAAATAAGCCCTTGGAGTATTCTCTTGTTGATTTTATGGTTTTAAATGAATTATATCAATATAATAATGTTTTGAATGAATCCAGAAGAATTCTAGACAGCCTTGAGTAATATACAAAATGTATATGTATCAGAACCATTCGGTATTTTCAGCAAGATTGACATTCATCACCCTAGCATTATGTTGACAATTCCTCTTTCTGTAAATTTCTGCCATGGACTTTTACCTAAACCCAGTGAAGTGTTTAACTTTAATATCTCTACAGCTATTGATGTAAGCAAGCAGGTTGATATTATATACACTGACTTTAGTAATGCTTTTGACAAGGTTAATCATTCTATTCTGTCAAATAAGTTAAAGGTCTTCGAAATCGGTGGATCAGTTGTCACTAAATCAGCTCAAACATTTGGTTTTCTTAAAGGTAATCCACAAGGATTTCTGCTACAGAAAACAAAAAAATATTTTGTATAACAGTATTGTCGGTAGTAGACTTGAATTTGCCTTTGTTGCCTGTAATCCCGTATATGATAAATGATCACAGAGCATTGAAAGCATTCAAACAGCCTTCATGAGACATCTAGCATTTTTAGTCAACCGATATACATCATAGGGCTCCTTACAATATGCGATTTTCTTTCTTTGGTCGCACTGTATCCGAATTATTATTTCTGCACAAAATCATGAATGATAAAATATCATATCCTGATTTGCTGACCGCCATCAACATTACTATCCCACGTAATTGTCCCGAGAAGCCCTTTACAAAAACTTTCAACTTAACCCGATGTAAAACAAATCTTGGCCTACATTATTCCTTAGCTAGAATTTTAAATAGTTACAATAATTTAAATAAGAAATCTACCTACCCGTATATTTTTTTCGATTCACAAATAGCTTCAAAAAGCTTTTTATTGAGTCTTGTGTTTTTTTAATCAAAATGATAAAGAAATTTTTCTCTTTATGTTTGATATATTAATTTTATTTTATAATTTGTATGTTTTATCTTTAAGTTAAACTTCTTACACAAGTTGTTGTGTATGCTTGTAAAGGCTTACATATCTGTTTTTTTTTTAAATATGTCGAGTTCTAAGCATGCCTTACTAATAAATAAATAAATATATGTTCTTGATGTCTAGCTCATTCCAAGTAATACAATACGCTCATGGAATGAGCGCAACAATTTAATGTTCGCCTTCCTAGAATAAGAGGAACACCAATAATCAGATATGCATTCTAACAACTTTCTCTTTTATAAAGACCGTATGTGTAAGACATTCCGCATCTCTCATGCTGCGATTGTATGATACCTTATGGTGACCTTATGGTGTACTCAGGGTGTCGAAAAACTTCATAGTCATCTGTTCGCTTTATGTGCTCACTGCAATAAGAGCGTGTATATTGTGCATCTTTATATAATTTACATTATTAGTCAGATTTGTGACTAAAGTATATATATTCCGCAAATATTATTTGTACTTATTAAGAATTAATATTGCCGATGTTCAAAACTTAACTTCGTATTTGCAGGTATTTTTATTAGAAAAACAATATTTTCTATATGTCTAATACTATTATTGAATATACCTTTTTTATTGTTATTGCTAATACAAAGTAAATATATGTTTATACATTTATTAAACATGAAAAAGTAGAACATGAGATCAAGAAATGAATTTCTTAAATGTCTAGACCAAGCTGTAATAACATTTGAAAAAAATAGGTATCTGCCCGTCTGACCACTCAAATAATTTGACCCTTATTCGAATGTCATAAATAATTCTTTACTTAATATTGGATTTGCCAAATAGTTTCTGACACTTTCATTATAATATTCTTTTGAGTAAAATTGCAAAGGCAGTTGAAAAATATATATAATTTATTACGATGCATAATGAATAAAAGTTACAATAAACATATTCTTGAGGCATGGCCAAACAAAGATAAAATTACGTGAGTGTTGAAAGTAAACGATACATATCCCTGTCCATAGAGCTCTGTATTGTTTCCGCGAAGTATTTCATTTAGTTGTACGAGACGCTGTAGACAAATATTTAAAACGATAACTAGCCATACACGCACGATGTGCCCGGCGGACGCCTCTCAGATCTGATCCATTACCTCGCTATGTACGGTCTCGTGTTGGTCTTGC